GAGAATCCATGTCATAACAAATTCTTCTTTTAGTACCCTTGATCATTTCATTTCAACTGCCTGAATGCCTCGTTTTCTTCTCTTTAACTTCTTTTTTGGGAGGCGGGGTGGGGGGGAAGGCCAGGTATTGAACTCAGGGGCACTCAACCACTGAGCCACATCCTCAGCCCTATTTTATATTTTATTTAGAGAGAGAGTCTCACTGAGTTGCTTAGAGCCTCTCCATGGCTGAGGCCGAGGCTGGCTTTGAACTCGCAATCCTCCTGCCTCAGCCTCCTGAGCCCACTCTGTCCTTTAACTTCTTACTCAAAAGACTTCCCAAAGCCATTCCTAAACATTTTCTCCAGAGGAGACTCCTGGAATTTTTATAATTTTGTTTGTTACAACTTCAAGGATTTTTTTTTAACTTTTTTTGTGTGTGTGTACTTAAAATTATATTTCTATTGTATTATGATTTTCTCTCCCTGCCCCCTTCTTTTCTCTTTTTCTCCCTTGGTACTAGGAATTGAACCCAGGGGCTTTACTACTGAGAGACATCCTTTAGTTCTTTTATTTTTTAAGTATTTATTTTTTAGTTGTAGTTGGACACAGTACCTTTATTTTATTTATTTTTACATGGTGCTGAGGATTGAACCCAGGGCCTTGCACCTGCTAGGCAAGTGCTCTACTGCTGAGCCATAACCCCAGCTCCAGTCCTTTTATTTTGAAACAGGGTTTTGTTAAATTGCTGAGGGTGTGCTTTGAACTTGCAATCCTCCTGCCTCAGGTCCCCTGAGTTGCAGAGATTACAGGCATGCCCCTGGATTATAAATTTCTTGAAGTTATCGTGGATGTTGAGTTGAACCATGAAGGATGGTAAGAATTTGGATAGGTGAAGAAGGGAATTCTTGTCCTAAGGAGGGAAACTCTATAAACCACAGTTCTTATGATAAAAAGAACAAGATGCTAAATAGATCCTTTAGCTTGAAGAATATGAGTGAAATAGTGACAAAGTTGTGAAAGTAGAAAATGACTTTCTTTTTTGTTTGTTTGTTTTGATACTGGGGATTGAGCCCAGGGGTGCTTTACCACTGAGCTACATCTCTAACCCTTTTTAAATTTTTTTATTGAGACAGCCTTTTGCTAAGTTGCTTAGGGCCTTACTAAATTGCTGCAACTTCCCTCAACTGATCTGATTCACTGGGATTATAGGCCTGCACTACTGTGCCTGGCCAGCTCACTTTAGTTGTGTGTAGGAAGGGCTTAATGGAGAATTGAAGGAGAGAATGCTTGTCCTACTCTACCTCCCTTTTATTGTTATGTTACTCCCTAAGGGAGAACAGAGCCAATAACACGATGGGATGTAAAGTGCCAGTTCTAATATACTATGATGCCATGGTACGCTTTTAAATCTGCAGAATTGAGCCATCACTAAAACCTGTTTCATCTATTTATGAATTATTTAATTAGAGGTCAGCAAACTTTTTGTAAAGGACCAGATAGATAGTAAGTATTTGAAGTTTTGTGGCCACAGAATTCCTCTGTTGCATATTCTTATTTATTTGTTTATAACCTTTTATAAATGTAAAAAGCATTCTTAGCTCTAGAGCCAGACAAAACTATCCATGGACTGGATTTGGTCTCCAGAATGTAGTTCAACTTCTTATTTAGTTGACTGAGGTGCTTATTTCTGAACTTAAAATTTCTAGAATTTAGACACCAAGACTGGCTTGGTGATGGTATTTTTCCATCTGTCTGTATTTTCATTGTCTGCTCACAGGTTATATTTTCTAAGGGTCAAGAAGCTAATAGTTTGATATGCGGATGCTGACTCACAATGTTGTGGGGAGTGGAGGTTCACTGGATTGGAGTGGGGGTAATAAGTGGAAGGGAGGGAGGGGGAATGGGAATGGGAAAGACAGTAGAATGAATTGGACATAATTTCCTATGTTCAAATATCAATACATGATCATGTAACCCCATATCATATGCAACCACAAAAATGGGAAGTTGTACTCCATGTATATATGTCAAAATACATTCTACTGTCTTATATAACTAAAAAGGACAAATAAAAAATAAAAGAAGAAGCTAATAGTTACCGAGAATTCTTCATTCTCTTTCCTACAATCTTGATAGTTTTGCATTTCAGGTTGTCTTTCATTTCTAAATGCTTTGGAAACTTTCTGATGTCTAAGACTATTTTACTCCTCTTTACTAGCTGTGTACTCATTAACACATGAGGATTTTAATGGTTTTTATAAATAACATACTTTATTTGTATTCTGTTATAAATTATGAACAATTTGTTACTTTTTTAATATAGTAAAGTTCAAATATCAGACTTGAGAAAACAGCATATTATATAAACAGAGTGATTTAATCTCAGTGCTCATTGGTTTAATTGCGTTTCTGGGTTAGATTCTCCTATATGTTGTCTTGTTTTTGCTTTAAATATATTCTCTGTAATCAAGTGTGTATGCCAGATTTTTCTATCAAGAGAAGTTACTCCTGTATACAGGAGTCCCCCATACACACTAACTTCAAAACTAACCCTAAATATGCACAATTGTAAATGCACATTCACATTTGTACACACATACACTTTTACATACAGGAAAACATATACACTCTTATATATACACACAATACATATACAAATAAATACCACACACATAGATATACACATGTTCCCAATCTTGAATTGCCATGCTCAACTGCTGAAACTAGTCTTTTCCCATATTGTGTCCTTCCTCATTGATTATATGTATCTATATTTCTATTTGGTTAATCTAATACTTTTTGCTTCTCTCTTTGTTTAATGTATTGTCCTACTTATTGCATTCTGCATTTCATTTGTTTTTCTATAATTTCTTGGAGTTTTACAGTTGTAAAAACTTTAATCCTTTAAGTAAGCAAATACTCTAAACTCACAAAATTTTTAAGTGAATGATCAATGCATATCATCATTATAAACACATTCTCACATTTGTAGTACATTCAAAATATGTGATATGTATTCACTATTAAACACTGTGAAAATTTTAAGCTTATTTTCAGGAAGATTAGGTAAACAAATAATCACCAATGCAAACAGATCTTATAAATAGCCACAACTTGCCTGTCAGTTGTTGGTATAAAGAGTATAAACAAATAGATGTGGTTTGCAGGTGATTGGCAGTGCTTATACATTCAGTGGTTACAGACACAAGCTGAACCTTGGGGGAAACACATCCAAGTGCAGAGGCATCCTTCTCTCTCTACTACTTAGCTACATCCCCCCACCCAAACTCTTTTATTTATTTTCAGACAGGGTCTTGCTAAATTGCCTAGGCTGGCCTTTAATTTGGGATCCTTCTGCCTTGGCCTTCTGAGTAGCTGGGATTAATGGCATGCACCATCAAGTCCCTGTAGAACTGGAATTTTTTAAGGTTCTTGTTGCATATTGCAAAATTGCTTTTCAGAAAAATTATAACAGTTTGTGCTATCATGAGTAGTGTGCAAAGATGCCTCTTTTATTGCATTGTTATAATAGTATATATTATAGTATCATATTATATTATCGTTTGTAGCTGCCAGTATAGACTAGAGTATGTTGTAGTAACAAATAATCTTGAGAAGCTCTGTGGCTTAATGCAATAAAGCTTCTTTCTTGTTTATGCTTTATGTCTAATGTGTATCATCAGGAGTCTTACTTCTTCAGAGCTGTTTGTTTAACCAGCCTCATCGGAAATTCCACCTCATCACTGCATACATAATCCCTGTAGCAGTGGGTAGGTCTTCCAGCTGTGTATTGGTTCTTGAAGTTTATATCTAGAAATCTCTCATATCTACACACATTTCAGTAATTAAAGCAAGTATTTAGCTATACCTAACTTGAAAGAAGGCAGTGAAGTACAATCCTGTCATGAGTCCGGTGAAGAGAAAAACTGAAATGTATTAATGACATCTTATTTTTAAAATAACTTCATTTACATTGATGAAATGACAGATCATTTTAATTTGATTTTCTTTTTGCTAACATAGAGAAACATTTTTCATATTTATTAGACGTTTGTTTTATTTAACTTTCCCTTTAGGCTTTATAAACATGCGCTATTGGTTTACTTTTACATTTCCAGATTTTTAAATTTTATATTTTTTTATGGGAATGGGCATTCAGGGTGGTAATATTATAGGGAGTGCAAACTTTTAGAAAATATTTTGTTGAAGGATTGAACTGGTAAAGAAGTTAATTTTTTTTCTCCTTTAATATACTGTATTGCCGGGTTTCTGTTCTCGCGACTAAAAGGCTCAGGGGTCACTCCAGTTAAACTGGGCTAACTGGGCTGCATGAAATAACCACACAAGAGACACAAATACCTTTTTCTTTGGGATCGCTGTGATGGCTCCTCTGACCTTAAGGGTCTGCAGAAAGAGAGAGCACGCGCTGACCCCTTTTATTGAGGAGAAGCTATTTAAATGAGGCAAGGGGTCAGGTTTCAGGGGGCTGAGTCTATCTTCATGATGTCAGTGGACATCAGCAGGCTGACTGACACCTGGGTAGGCCACACCCAAGGGCACAGTAAGAGAAGGGGACACACACAAGGCACTTCCATGGAAGATTCTATCCTAAACAGGGTAAGTGGTTATATTACAAAGAAACAGGTGAGCATAGCTTTACCCATGGGGCTGTAGCAAGACACACCCATGCACCAACCCTCGCACCCAAGAAGGGTGCCACATTTCTGTGACTGAGAGCCTCAGCACATAGCCGGGGAGTGTAACTCAGTCACGTGTAGGGTTGGCCTCGCACATAGTATGTTTTGATAGATTTCAAGAATCATCATTAATATTAAATAATCAAAGTCTAGCAGAAGTTGTTAATTCTCAATATTCTAAAGATTTCTAAAGAAAACTTGAACACAAAAATTTGTGAGTAAACAATCAAGTTAGTATTCTCCTATTGAAATAATTAAATTATCCACTCAGATTTAGTTGTATTGACCATGTCTGATTTTCCCCCCTCCTTTTCAATTCAGGTATCTGCCTAAACTGGAGCTGATGCTGTAGACATTTCTTTGTGGTTTCTCTAAAAACCTAAGGTGAGATATTTTATAAATACATTAGCCTTTTAAAATATATTTTATAATAAGAAAGATGTGTTTCTGAAAAATTTAAGACAACACCAAATGTCTTTTCCTTATTTATAATAATACTACATATAGCATGCTTTTACTTTTTGTTTGTATGACATTTGCCTGAAATAAACAAAACTGGTTCTAGCAATAAGATACTTTTTAGTGTATTTTTCCATTGTTTTTATACTAAAAAAATGGAGTTACACTGATATTCTCTGACATACTTGAGAAAGATATTGGCATTATGATCTGATAGTCTTGAAGACAAATCCTTGATTAGTTAATCATAGATTAAAACTGGGAACTGCTTTAATAGGCCAGTTGGTAGGAGTTTTCTCCACCTTCTTGGACTTGATTATTTCTATAATTCCCTCTATTTGTGGGGCCTATGTAATAAAGATATATCCATTAGTATTTTAATAGTTAATTTCTATAGAAAGTTTCCCTTCTACAGAAAGCTTCTATAAATAGCATTCTGCTATAAAGGTAAGGTTATTAGCCCTGTCCCATTTCCTACCTGTCTTAACTCGAGTCCTCTTCAGTTTTTTTATTTTTGAAATTCTTCATTTTAAAAAAATTTAAATGGGCCATTTTAAGTTTCCCTTTTGGTCTTTCCACCTGAGTCCAGCTGTTCTCTAAACTATTCTTGTCATTGTCAGCAGGGTATTTTTTTCCTAAAAGATAAATGTCAGCATAGCAGTTTAGTATTCAGAATCATTCAGTATCTCTACCTGGCTTAAAGGTAATTTACAAACTCTTTCATGGAACATTATAATTTTTTACAATTTTCCATCCCACTACTGCCCTAGGCATGATTGTTCAATTCCTCTGACACCTTTACTGAAAAATAATTTACATACCATAAAATAACCCATTTAAAGTGTACCATTCAGTGGTTTTTATTGTATTTCAGAGTTGTGCAACCAATACCACAATCTAATTTTGGAATATTTTCATCATTCTTAAAAATACTATTAGTAGTCTCTACTCACCACCCCCCACCCCCAGCCTCTGTCAGCTACTAATCTACTTACTGTCTCTATAGGTCTACCTCTTCTGGACAGTTCATGTAAGTGAAGTTGTATAATTTATGGGTCTTTTGTGACTTATATCTTTCACATAGCAAAATGTTTTCAAGGTTCACCCATGTTGTAGCATTTATCAGGACTTCATTACTTTTTCTTACTGAATAATATTCCATTTTCTGTGACTGGAGTTGAACTGGTAAAGAGCTGAGCTTCTAGGTGTCTGTCTGGGTAGTCAATTTTAAGAAAAGGGCCAAAATGAAAGTAACAGTCAAGTCTTTAATCATTTACTGCATTAGGATAAGTAAGAGATTAACTCTGAGAAAGTGTAGGCTCCCTGAGGTTGAGGTGGTCTCACTACTGAGGAAGCCTTCAACAAAAGGTTTTTGCAGTGTATGGATCCAGGGGAAAGGTGAAATGGTTATGAGTGGACAAGTCCAGAGGCAGCCTAGGGAAAAGTATCTTCAATATTTCCTAGCCTCTTCAAAGGGCCTGAGGAAAGGCCTCGGCTAAAGGCCATGAAGAGCTTTCTGGATGAAGTCACTTGGGCTAGGAATGCTGAAATGCTAAAATTAAGAGCATGGCGAGCTGGGGCCTGAGTCTTTATATGTTGCTACACACTGGCTGTGTCAAGTCTGGTGGGGAGAATCCCGCTATCCCTGTGAAGCCTTTAAATTGTAATTATTTATGGTTGGGCTGAAAAAACCATGCATAAGTATTTTTATGGCCAGGAGCCGGACTTAATACATACAGGCCATATTTCATTTATTAGTTAGTGGACATTGATTTGCTTTCATTTTTTGGCAATTTATGAAAGTATGCTATGAATGTATATTTGTATGTAGTTTTTTTTGTGTGGACATATTGTGCTTAATTTTTTCCTGAGGTGATAACCCTGTTTTTAGGTGTTTCCTATTTTCAACAGTGCCACAAGAAACATTCCTCTATATGACTCTTGCAGTACATGTGAAAAAGATTCCATTGGGTATATGTACCTATGAATGTAATTCCTGGGTCATAGGGTAGTAATGTTAATCTGAAAGAGAGAAAACAAACTTATTTCCAGGAGTTGTACCATTTTACCCTCATAGCTTCAATGTGTAAGAAATCGTGTCATTTTACAATTCCTACAATATGTAATATTTTTCAGACTTTTTAATTTTGCTAATTGAATGATACAAAGTAGTATCTATAGTGATCTTTTAAGACAAACTTAAAAAATGATGTGTCATTTCCAATTTATAATAAAATGCAAATCTTAAATATATGGGTCAGTGACTTTTGACAAATGCTTATACTCATTTCACTCCCTTATAAAGCTTTAGAACATTTTATTACCTCTTAAGTTCCCTTGGATTCCTTAACATTTTTTCTCCTTACCAAAGGGAACTACTGTTCTCCTTTTGTTACTTTTTCAATTGGGTTGTTTACTTGCTTAGAAGCATGCTTTATAGATTCTGTGTATGAGTCTTGTGTCAGTACAATATTGAGTAGAAGTGGTGAGGGCAGACATCTTGGCTTGTTCCTGATTTTAGGCGATAAGTTCTCAGTTTTTCACTGTAAAGCTTGGTGATATCCTCAGATTGAAGATTCTTTTATTGCTGAAAGGTGTCTTTTTCCCCCTCACATATAAAGATAATGTTGAATTCTAAGTGTGGTGTTAAGGATAATTTTTAGAAGACGGTATAATCATGATTCTCTTATGGATAGGAAATGAACACTTGTCAACTATTTTATTTAACTCATTAATTACTGAGGAAACTGGTAAGATGTTAAAACCATTTCGAAGGAAGTTCTCAAGAGCTACTCATTTACATGCAATAAATGAATGGTGAAATAAAATTTTCAAGTAAGTACAAAATGAACTTCTCTACTGGACAATTACCAATTTTGTCCCATTGGACACAAGTAATTTGCTTTCCGTAGATAAGAATAATTTGCATTATAACTAGTGTTCTTTAACTTATAGAATTGAAAGTTTGAAAGCTGGAAATAGTGGATGCTTGAGCTAGGAAGGACATTCACTAGTCTTTTTTCTTTTTAAGTTCACTTCCAAGGATTTTACTGTTTTTTCCTGTAAAGTGTGGTCTTGCTTTAAACTTCCCTGATCCCTAGTGGTATTGAACCTTTTTCATGTATTTATTTTTTAAATTTTGTATATGTATTTTTTAGTTATAGGTAGACACAGTGTCTGTATTTTATATTTTGTATGGTGCTGAGAAGCAAACCCAGTGCCTCATGCATGCTAAGTGAGCACTCTACCTCTGAGTAACAACCCAGCTCCTCATGTATTTATTGGTTCAGTACATGTGTTGTGTGTGAAATGCCTCTTGTCTTTTGTGCAACTTTCCATGTTTTTTTTGTGTATGTTAATGCGTTATATGTTTTTAATAATAATTCAGTATAGATTGTATGAATTTGAACATTTTTCTTAGTTTATAACATCTTTTTTTTCTTTTGAGGTGTTTTTTTTTTGAAGGGGCAGTACTGGAGATTGAACCCAGGGGTGCTTTGCCATTTAGGCTACATCTCCAGTCCTTTTTTGTATTTTATTTTGAGACAGGGCCTCACTAAGTTGCTTAGGGCTTTGCTAACTTGTGGAGGCTGACCTCGAGCTTGTGATCCTCCTGCCTCAGCCTTCCGAGTCACTGAGATTACAGGGATGTGCCACCACCACACCTGGCCAAGGTGTTTTTTAAATGAACAAATGGCTCTTAGTTTTAATATAGTCAAACTTATCTTGAAAAATGTTTCTTTTTTAAGCATTATTAATTATTTATTTATTTTTAGTTGTTAATAGACGTTTATTTATTTATATGTGGTGCTGAGAGACCCCAGTGCCTCACACATGCTAGGTAAGAGCTCTACCACTGAGCCACAACCCCAGAACCAAGAAATGTTTCTTTACTCTTTTTTTTTTAATATTTATTTTTTAATTCTCGGCGGACACAACATCTTTGTTTGTACGTGATGCTGAGGATCGAACCCGGGCCGCACGCATGCCAAGCGAGCGTGCTACCGCTTTGAGCCACATCCCCAGCCCAAATTTTTATTTATTTTTATGTGGTGCTGAGGATCGAACCCTGTGCCTCTCACATGCGAGGCGGGCCCTCTACCACTGAGCTACAGCCCCAGACCCATTTCTTTACTCTTTTGGCTTTTTTTACTCCAAGGTCAAAAGATAACTCTTTTAACCATTAAGCTTTTAAAGTTGTTTTGATACTAAGGACCTTACTCTGATATTGAATTTTTCATGTGGTATGATATTAGTATTTAGTTTAATTTTTGTTTTGAGATGGGGTCTCACTGCGAGGCTGTATTTGAACTCTTGAGCTTAAGTGATCAGTCTCAGCCTCCTAGGTAATAGGGGCTATAGGTGTGTGCTGCTGTGCCTAGCCCAAATTTCACTTAAAACAAACAAACAAACAAAAAACCTACATCTTTTGCTCTGGAGATGGCCCAGATTCTGCCTTGAATTTGCCTGTGGTTTTGTAAGTAAACACACACACACACACACACACACATACACACACAGGGTGGGGAGATGTTATGGACAGAATGTTTGAGTCTCTGAAAGTTCACATGTTTAAGTCCTAACTCTCGGTATGATAATATTTGGGGATGGGACATTCAGGTGACAACTGGTGTTAGAGGAGATCATGAAGATGGGGTCTGATCCAATGGGATTCACCCTCTTATATGAAGAGACACCAGGAAGTTTGCTTTCCTTCTTCCCTGTCATGTGTGGCCACAGTGTGAAGGTGGCCATCTGCAAGCCAGAAAGAGAGCCTTCACTAAAACCTGATCATGCCGTCACCTTATCTTGGACGTTTTGCCTCTAGAAATGTAGGAAAATATATTTCTGTTGTTTAAGCTGCATGGTCTATGGTATTTTGTTATGATAGCCCAAGCAGACTAATATGTATTGTTTTACATTTACTCTTCGGTATTTGAAGTTTTCTTTATTAGACACTGCTTGTACAGAGAGTCAGGAATAAGAATTAGAGAGTCCAGGCTTCAGAGAGCCCACATCAAAATGCCTTACCCCACACAGCATTACCCTAGGCCACTTTTAAAACTTTCTTTTGAGGAAAAATCTCCTTAATGAGGAGGCACCTCAGATTATGGTTGCAAAAATCCTGGGGTTTGTGTTGGAGGAGAGAGGGATGCAAAGCAGCAGTCAGGAAAGATTAGCATATAGCCAGCTGTTTTACTCAGCTCCTAATTTTCTTGAAGATTCAAAAAGACCAGACATTTGAGTAGTATATATATGGGGCCAAGTTGTATGCACACAGGTGCTGAGTCACAAGAGAAGCAAAACAGAACTTCTGCAGTTCTTCTGGTTTGTTCCTCCATAGTGTTGCTGGGCTGCCTCTTGCCTCAGGCCAGAACCACCATCTCACACATAGCATATCAACATGGATCCTAGATGCCCCAGTAATATCTCATAGTTCTCTCTTTCTTATGTACTTTCTCCAGGGACAATAGACTGGGAGGGCCTCAGTCTCCTGAATAGTCTAGACTACAGGAGCACCACAACCAGCTGTCAAAGGGTTTTTTATTTTGTTATTTTGATGATGCTTCAATTTGAACCCAACTCTACTACTGAGTTACATTTGCAGCCACTTTTTTTCCTCTTTCCACATTTTTCATTGGTGCATTGTAGTTGTACATAATGATGGGGTTTGTTGTTAACATATCAGTACAAACAATACATAACAATATATTTTGGCCATTATCACTCCCCAGTCCTTTTAGTTTTATTTGAGGCAGGCTATCACTAAATTGCCCAGGCTGGCCTTGAACTTAGTGGTCCTCCTGCCTTAACCTCCTTAGTAGCTACCACACCCCTCTATTAAAGGGTTTTTATAGAGTTATTGAATGATTTTAAATAGGATTAAAGTGGCTATTAATTTAGAGTAGAATTAAAGATATTTTGGAAGCTGGGTGTGGTTCTAAACTCAGCTACTTGGGAAGCTAAGACAGGAGGATCGCAAGTTTGAGGTCAGCCTGGGCAACTTAGTGAAACCCTGTTTAAAGAAAAGGGGAGTGGGCTGTGAATATAGCTCAGTGGTAGAGCATCCTTGGGTTCAATTCTCAATGCCACACACACACACAAAAGATATTTTGCAATGGAGAGATTATTTAGAAGACTATGTAGTCCAGACAGGATATAACTTGAAGAAGACTAGACTCTAGAGAGTACAGATTGTGGTAGAATCTATAGAAATTGACCATTGATAAGATCTTGCTGTGGCGAAGGGAGGAAAGAGGGGCAGGAATCAAGGATGATTCCCAGGTTGGGCATTTGAGTGGATAGTGGGGCTATTTATTTCCAGTTCATGTTTAGGTATAGAAGGAACTTGTAGGGAGGAAGACAGGATTTTGAAATGTTTAGTTTGAGTTTTCTCTGACATAGTCAAGTGGAGATGCATAGATCTGTCTGTAGTCTTGGAGGGAGGTTGGGAGAGTTAGAGTGAGGAAGGGAGGGAGAGATATTGAGCTTAGTAGAATTTCAGGAGTGGTTGAAGAAAGACTTGAATCAAGATTGAGGACAAAAATCTCTGGGGACATCTAGATTTAGTGGACATATGTAGAAAAGGGCACTGGGGAAAAAAGATCAGGAAGAAGAAACCACAAGAGAAACTGTCAGCAAAGGATTTTACAGCAGCAGCCTTGGCTTCATCTCTACCTTCAGACCAGACTTTCCATTTTGTATCCTGTATTTGATCTTTGTCCTCAGACCTTTCCTTACTGAGCATTCTCTGCTGGGAGAGACTGTAGATGAGAAATAGTTTATTTTTGAACCCAGCAGTTGCTGGCTCTTTTTTATTTCCTCTAAATTCTGCTTGAAAACAAGTACTTTATTCTTTAGCTCATCTCCATTTGCCCCTTTTGCTTTACATATAAAAGAAACCAGTTGACACTTTGGACATTCTGCTTAGAAATTACCTTAGTTAGAAGTAACAATTCATTTTCAACATTTTCTGTTTTCTGTCTTACCATAGGCAGTGGTTTTGCTAAGTTTTTTGCCATTTCATAACAAGGGTCTTTTTCCACCTTCTGAGATGACATTTTACTTGCTCTTAAGGCCTTTCCAGTAGCCTCCTCAAGGCTTACTGGGCTTTTGCTGGTGAGATCCTTCAGGCCCTTCCAGCTTGTACCCACAATCCAGTCTTGAAACTAGGGTCACATGTTTTAGGTTTTTGTTATGTCATACCCCAGTTTTAGGTATTATATTCTATTCTGGCAATTGTTGCAGTGTAACAGGCCACCTCAAACCTAGTACCAGAACCTGCATGGCTTCTTCTGGCTTAGTCTTGGAAGTCACTCAGTGTCACTTCCATCACCATCTCTTGTCGTGAGCAAGTAAATGCCAACCTGGATGCAAGGAGAAGGGGACTTAGACTCCACATATTTATGGAGGAGTGGTAAATTCACATTACAGAAGATTATGTGGGATGGAAGATATTTTTGCAGCATCTTTGAAAAATAGTCTGTGACAGATGGATAAAATAAAATGCACAGGATTACAAAGGAAACCCATTATATTAAAATATTGTTATTAAGCTAATTATGATCAAGTGTATATGCTTATTTAACATAATATACAAGTTATTGTGGCATATAATATAACTATAGTAAATTAGAGGTTGGAGAAAATAACTTATTTTCCCATCAAAGTTTTTCTCCTAAATTCTATCCACAAATCCAATGGTCTCAGGGCTGGGGCTGTAGCTCAGTTGGTAGAGCGTTTGCCTTGCATGTATGAGGCACTGGGTTAAATCCTCAGCACCACATAAAAACAAGTAAATAAAATAAAGGTATTGTGTCCATTTACAAATAAAAAAAATTCAATGACCTGTAGATTAAAAACCTTTATGTTAATGTAATTGTGTTTACAAAAGTCATATTGCTGTGGATTGGGAAGTATATTTGTGTGTGAGGCGGGGAAGGAGGGTGAGAAGGCAGAGCCTATCAAGGAGGTCACCATAGGGTAAGTTCAACAGCATTTATTTTCCTTTTAAGATAAGGGTTTAATTGTTTTTTTTGTTTGTTTGTTTGTTTGTTTTAGATAGGGAAAGATACTAATGAGGAAATTTGAAGATATAGGAAAGGTAAAGGGTATTTGATGTTTCTGGGAAGGCAGGAGAGAGTCTAGTCTGGAGGTTAGGTGGAAGCATTAATCTTAGACAGGAGGCAAGGCCAGAGGAAAGGAATAATGGAAGGATGTTTGTGAGTGCTGTTCATTTATTACATCATGTGGCACTCTGAGAAAAATGTAGGCATAACACATTTCAACACAGGAGCAAGGGAGACCAGGACAAGTCTCTGAGAACATTGAAGCAGAGTGCTGGACAATATGAAACTATTGGGAAGGGAGTTGGGGGGCGGGAAAAGGTAATGAAATAGGGACCAAAAAATAATATAATGTAAGTGGTTGGGTGATTGGATGCAGAAGACAAGCTTTTCCTAGTTTGTAGTTTTTTGTTTTTAATACCTTTCTTAGACCAATCATTTTCCTTCCCATGAGTATTGATACAAAGAACAGTGGAATGAAAATAAAATGTATTTATATATTTTGACTTTTGCCTTTTTAGATTTAGCTTTTCTTAAGTGTCTTTTTAGTATACATGAGTAATACTTGGAATGTCATTGCCACACAAAAAATGTAAAAGCATCGGAGTTTCTTTTTCCTGGTTATTTGGGTTGATTTTTTTTTTTTTTAAGTTGTATATGGACTCAATTCCTTTTTGTTTTTATGTGGTGCTAGGATTGAACCTAGGGCCTCACACTTAGGAGGCAAGTGTTCTACCACTGAGCTACAACTCCAGCCCTATTTGGTTGATATTGAAAAGCACTACCTGTTTTTGTTGCTTTCACACTTACAACTGGACGGAATTGGCCTCAAAGGGTTCATAGTTTTCTTTGTCATTAGCCAACAGATGCTTGCTGCAGTGTTTTGCTCACAGTCTGTTTAATGTGAGGGCATCTGTGTATGCCAATGAGAAGAGCAGTACTATATAGTCACCTTTTTTTTTTTAAATAATAAATAACTGCCTTTAGTTTACACACAGATCCTGTACTAAGTGATCTAATTTGTGTTTAACTCAAGCTGTTATTAACATCTGGAAAATCTAACTTCAGATTGCTTTGACTATCTAATGTATCACTTTGCTAAGTCTCTCATATAATGAAACTACTTTGTATCTGTCGAAGAATTGCTTCATATCTTCTTGAAATGTTAAAAAATTTTAAACTTCAGGTCACTACTATATATCATAAATGACCTTAGGTTTCTAGATACAAATAATAATTAAGCACATATATGATATGAAATTTTTAATTCTTTTTTTTAGGGGGTGTGTACCAGGGATTGACCTCAGAGGCACTAGGTCACTGAGCCACATCCCCAGCTCTATTTTGTATTTTATTTAGAGAAAGGGTCTCACTGAGTTGCTTAGCGCCTTGCTTTTGCTGAGGCTGGCTTTGATCTTGTGATCCTCCTGCCTCAGCCTCCTGAGCTGCTGGGATTACATGCCTGTAGCACTGCGCCTGGCATGAAATTGTTAATTCTTAAATTATGTCTATATTTAAAAGTTTTTAAATAAAATATATTATTTTAAATTGTGGTTAAATGTCTAAGCTCTCTCCACGGCCCCCATCTCCTATTAGCAGCTATTTTTATCTTTTCTTTCAGCTTAACTATATCATGCCTGCCTGAGAAGCTGTCCTGGGAGTGGGCTCAGGGTCTTTTGAGCAGGAAGTCCTGGGTTTCCAGGTAGGTGGAAAGCAGTTCCTAGAGGTGAGGTGCAGTGAGGCATTTTCTATTGGCTCTTTGTACTGTTTACCACTTGGGGAGAGGTATGGCCACAGGAGGACCAAATCTTATCACCTGATCTAAGAACAGTAGCGATTTTAATAATCTTTTAATGGGTCCTCTAGACTTAATTGTCCCCAACTTTATTCTTTCAAGTCTATTCTTTTGTTGTATGGCTGGAAAGATTTCTCTAAAACTCCTGCTCAAAACCTTTCTGTGCTTCACAATTTTCATAGAGATTTAATTTAAGTTCGAACTTCTTCACATGACCTTTTAAAGGTTCTTTGTGCCTTGTTCTGACCACTGCTTACTTTTTCATTCATATCCGTTTTTTGAACTCTGTTGTTATCCCAGGTACTCTTTCTTACCTCTGCAATTTTGCACACAAATATTAATTAATGTATATTTTTTTGATTCATTCAAATGCATGTCATGTCTTATAAATGTGACTATTATTTAAATGCTTTATTGTTCAGTTGGCTCATCTCCATCTGAATCCATTAAATCAGTTTCCCAGCCTACCTGTCCCCTCAGCTGCATAATAATGCAATATTTGTAACAATTTTTATTTGAAAGTGAATCATCTTGACTTAAGTAGGAAGAACTGATTGACCTAATTGCAGAAGGGTTAGCATTAAAATGAAAAAAAAAAAAAAGAACAATTTAAAGAACTGATCGTTAAGTATGTGAATATGAGAATCATTAATGATAGAAATAATGGATTACTTGATTATGATAAAACATTTAGCAACTCAGTAACTCAGCTATCCTATCATAAAATAATCTGCATACAAACAGAATAAAAATAATTTTTGCTATCTTATTCTAAGCCAACATTAATTGAAATTTTAATTTGGGAACTATGTTAAAAAACTTGTTTTTGGGAACTGAATTTACTTTTACTATGAACATTTTTATGTTAAGCTGATTGATTCTGTTAAATACAGCATGAAAATATATCTTTATATGTGACTGAAAAATTATTATTATTATTATTATATTTATTTTTTAGTTTCGGTGGACACAACATCTTTATTTTATTTTTGTGTGGTGCTCAGGATCGAACCCCAGCGCCCCGCGCATGCCAGGCGAGCGCGCTACCTCTTGAGCCACATCCCCAGCCCGTGACTGAAAAATTATTAACTAAAGAAAGGAATGACTTGCTAAGGCATCCTTTTTAAAATATTAATCAAATTATGAGTAAGAAAGGCTTTCAATCTCTGTCTTAAGAGATACAGTATCGTCATAGGTTTTAGTCATTGTTCTAGTTAGGCTGGCTAGTGTTAGCACCTTAGGTTTTCTTATGAGTCAAATGAAGTATTTTATTGTGAAGATCAATTGGATTTTATATATCAAAGTGCTTTATAGGTATTCTACATGTAGATATTAAGCAAGATTTTAGTCCTTTTTCTGCCAGCTTTTTAACTCTAGGCTGGTGACTTCATTTCCTGAGCTTTTATTTATAGGTAAGTACCATTTACATTGAGTTCAGCTCTTACAAATTATGAACATTATTATTTTTACTTTTTTCTTTCATCTGCTTACCTTCACCATTCCCCTTGTTATTATTATCCATTAATCCTCACCTATTTTATTTCATTTGGTAATTACTATCAATTTTGTAAGGGCCGGTAATATTAGCCTCATTTTACTGATAAGGAAAACTGAGACTAAGGGAGTTGCACAGTTGATTACTGCTAGAGGTAGGATTCCAATTCAGGTTTCTGGTGCCAAGGTTCTTTTTTTGAAAAGCATGTGGCTGAAGTAAAGACATGTACCTCAGTTAAAGAAAACTTTTGTTTTCTGTTGTTTTCCCTTTGCTTTTTGAAATATCTTTGGACTATCTGAAATATGTAGGTCAAGTAAGGATTAAGACAAACACATCCAGAAATATTCATTTTTGTCTAGAGTTCACTTATGAGTGCTATGCTTTACTATTTCCTATTGAAAACTTCAGACACCCCCTTGTCCAGGCATGCCAGCCCTAGATATTGACCTTACTTAGAACACCATTGCTTTTGGTGTGATTGACAGTGCTGATTTAGGCAGGACTCTGATGCTGATCCTTTCTGATTTAAAAACTTCTGTATTGGTGCCATTTTTTAAAACTCATGTTTCTCTTTTTGTCTGTTGAAAGTTTCCTTTTAGACAAGTTTCATTACTTGTTCATTTCCTTTTAATCCCATGAATGATCATTGGTCATAGTTTAATGTTTTTCCCCCCAGTGATGACTTTGAAATGGCTGTGGCACTTTGAGATCTCATTTGTTGCCCTTCTTGAAAACACTGGAGTGCACAAAACTGCAGCTACATTGGCCTTTTCTGTGAATATATCAAGTTCATTGTGGCTATAGGGTCTTCTTTTTTTTTATTGGTTGTTCAAAACATTACAAAGCTCATGACATATCATCTTATAGGGTCTTCTATTACTTGTCCCTTTGTGGGGAATAGTCTCCACCCAGCCTGCTGGTTTGCTAGATTCTTCTTTTTCCTCCTTCTCCCCTTCCTCCTCCTCCTCCTCCTCCTCCTCCTCCTCCTCCTCCTTTTTCTTTTCCTCTTTCTTCATGGTACTGGCAATTGAACCCAGAGGCACTCTACCACTGAACTACCTCCTCATTCCCCTTTTATTTATTTATTTATTTTTTGAGACTGGGTCTTGCTGAGTTGCCAAAGCTGGCTTTGAACTTGTCATCCTCCTGCCTCAGCATCCTGAATCATGCTAGATACTATTTCTCTATAATATTAAAGTCTCAGCATAAATGCCCCCTCTCAAAGAGATTTCTTTGACAATTCATTAGAGATTAGTGATTTCTCAACCCTCTTAATTACATGACTGTTTTGTCTTCTTCTTAGTACATAATCACTAATTGATATTTATTTCTCATTCATCTCCTCCAATGGGGAAAAGTGACAATCTGTCTTGTTTACTGCTGAATCCCCAGAACTTGGAATAGTGTTTGCCATAGTAGGCATTCCATTAAATATTTGTTGAGTAACCTAACAAATGAAAAATTTTTCTATTGGCTACTCATAATTTAAAAAAATTCTTTTGTTTCTATTCCTTATTTCTCTTTCTATTCACCCCCTGCCTTTTTTTGTTGTAAGTTAGGAAGGTATAATTAATGTTTTTGCAACTAACATTTATGTATTTAAAAATTTTTCTTTTTCCTGTCCTGTGCCCTAGTAGGATTCTTTTGGAGGAAGGGGAAAACCTTGTAATCTCAAACTCTTGAGGTATGACTATTTCAGTCTATCTACTGCTTGCCAGGTAGGTGCCAGAGCTGGTACAGTCTAGTCATAGAAGCAATTAACAGGTAGGAAAGCTGGCTCCTAACAGCTGTTGCAGTCCTGTTGAGTTGGCCTCTCCCCCAAGGGACCATCACTATCTATCTAGGAAAATGAAATTGCCTTCTCATAAGCATTTTTCTCTAGAACAAAAACAAATTCTAGGTTTATAAAATGAGTTAAGAGCGTGTCAACAGAATAGAACAGGGTAATGACCTGCTGCTGCAATTTGAATTTGAGTCAAGGCAGCAATGTTTATTTTCAGAAGAGATAACATGGAAATGGTGGCACTTTTAGTTGTATTGAAATGACTTTATTATGCTGGAAGAGTAGATTTAATAACTTAATTATCATTATTGTTGAGGAAAGTGGCAATATAATTTTGACCCTCAGAACTTTGGTTTATGTGATTGTCCTTGAGTCCTTGCTTCTTCAATTCACTTTATGGAATGGGGGAAGCATTTTCGAATAAATGCTACTTGATTTCTTTTCATTCTTCCAGTTGTTAATTCATTCAGTATGGATTCTTTTCAACCATGAGCTTAACCATAGTTATGTGCCATAATCAGCGTATACACAAAGGTTTTTAAAAATGGATTTAAATGAGTTTTATATTAATACTCTGTCAGTTCTGTGTTGTATATTGATATGCCTTAATGATATTGGTCTTTCTTGATCCTTTTTGGAAGTCTTATTTGATGTGATTCCCAGTCTGAGCTAGTTGTGAAATGTGTTTCCTTTGAAAGTTGCCTTCTAATTAGAAACCCCTTCTTTAGAACCCCTGGCCTTTCATGAAACTCAAAGAATTTGTGTCATTAAATTCTGCTTTAAGCATTTTGTTACAAAAATTAAGAAAAGCTCTATGCAAAATGAGGGTATTAACTTTTTGAAGGAATGAGATAGATGTGCCTTAAAAAGCTATCAGGTTGTCTAATGAAGAATAAAAATCACATAATCATCTCAGTTGATTAAAAAAAATTTTTTACAAGATTTAACACCCTTTTATGATAAAAAAGTCAACAAACTAGAAATAGAGGAGAACTACCTTAATATTATAAAGGCCATTTATGAAAAGCCCACAGCTGACCTTATACTCATTGTGAAAAACTGTAACCTTTTCCTCTAACCTCAAGAACAAAGCAAAAATACCCATTCTTGCTACTTCTGTTTAACATAGTATTGGAAGTCCTAGCCAGAGCAATTAGAAAAACAAAGAAAAAAAGTTATCCAAATTAGAAAGGAAAAAGTGAAAGTATCTGTTTTCAGATGAGATGATTTTATATGTAGAAAACTCTAAAGATCACACCAAAAAAATTATTGGAACTAATAAATTCAGCAAAGTTCATGGATACAAAATCAACCCTCAAAAATTTCTATATAATAACAATGATACAGTCCAAAAAAATTAAATAACATAAATAAGTGGAAACACATATTTACGGATTGAAAAACATAACATTGTTAAGATACTACCCAAAGCAATTTATAAATTTCATCCCTTTCAAAATCCCAATGACTTTTTTGTAGAAGCAGAAAGATTTATCCTAAAATCCATATGGAATCTCAAGGGATCCCAAATAGCCAAAAAAATCTTGAAAAAAGATAAAATTGGAAGTCTCACACTTCCTTATTTCAAAACTTGAAAGAATGAAAAAGGTTCGTTGTTGGAGAAAATAC